GTTAAAAAAATTGATGAGTGGATGCTGAGATGACGAACTAACGCTCGTCCACCAGCGAACGAACGCTCGTCGACCACCGAACGAACGGTCGTCCAGTGTGGAACGAACGGTCGTCCAGCAGTAAGAGGTGGACGAGCGTTCGTTCTCTGGTGGACGAGCGTTCGTTCGCTGGTGGACGAGCGTCCGTTCGTCATCTCAGCATCCACTCATCAATTTTTTTAACGTCGTCCAGCCAATTTAACGGAAATGACTCAATTGATATCAATTTTCAAAATTAAGGACCATTTTGATACACTTTAAAAAACGAGGACCCAATTGAGACATTCGTACATAAATAGGGATGTAGTAAAGGATTAAACCTTTGGTAAAAGCAATTCTTTTATTAACAGTTTTGAAATTACCTTTGGATCAAGAGTTATTTATCAATCAATTTTAATCATGATTTTTCTTAATGGTTTTAAATAAACTAACTCGTTTTTTTCGTCAATATTAATCATGATTTTTCTATTAAAGTATGTTATATTTTAGTCAATTTTTATAGAAATTTGTTTCAATTGACATTGTTATGTAGTAAGGATATTTATGTAATAACATAAATATCTTAGATATTTTAGACAGTTAAGATATTTGTCAAAAGCCACTAGCCACATTTTTAGGTAAGGTGGTTATTTTTATTTTGCTTATAAATACAATGACAGGACCAAAGTCCAGGTACGTTCTCTTTATGCTCTAGAGATCCTGAATAATATTTCAGAGTAATATCCAATTACTCTCTTGAGAGCTGAAGCTCCATAACTGACATCTGACTTGAGCGTCGGAGTATCTTTGCAGGTACCTCCCCATCCTTTGGCGAGTATGAACAACAACAATTAGAGAAGAGCAAGCGTCCCAGACAGCATCCCAGACAGCCAGAAGCAATAAAGACACACCGGACAAATATACACCGAAACAGACATCATTCTTTTTTTTAAGTAAATAAGAATTTTTTTTTCTAATATATATTAACACCAATAAGTGATGGAACGGGATAAAATATCGAAGATAGATGTTCTCAAAAGTGACACCTACCTGCTGCCCTTTAATTCAAGGTAATGTTTTAAAACAGTATAATAGATTTAACACAGAATAAAAAACTATCTACGCAAATCGTGAATTAAAAAAAAATGGAAATATGAGAATCGAAAGACGCTTAAAGTAAAACAGAAAAAAAAAAAAAAAAAAGAGAAGAGTAGAGAGAGAGAGAAGATAGATATATTATATATATAGATATATAATATATATATATATAAAATCAAATCATGATTTTAAGACTTGGTGAGAAGAAATTCCTTCAAAATTAAGAAACTGAGTAAAAAATCTCAAAGTTTGCAATTTTCTTTAAAACATATACCTCACAACAAATATAAGTAAAGAAAAACAAAGAACAACTAAGGAATTTAATGGGAAAAATTGAAATCAGAGCTACAGATTAAGTAAATGAATTACAATGGTAAGAAATCAAGACAAGTAAAATCCAGAAAAGGAAAATTGAATAATTTCTTTTATTAACCACAACTTTTTTTTATCAACCACCGTGCCAGCAATTTAAGTAAGTTTACACAGCAGAACCAACTCCAAATGCGTTAAGGTCAACACCAAGAACAAGACCAACACTATGATATGTGCATCAAGATCTACACTTGGGTTGAATTTTCAATGAGTTAGACACTTGAGTCAACACACGTGTACTAAAGTGAACTCCACAATTTGCACGCATAAGCATCATCAATAACTATTCGAAAAGGTGCTATTTTAATCAATATGTAATATTCAATATTTAGATTGGTAGAGCATGGCTATGGATTACTCTACATTTAATAAAATAGATTGGAGGTGTATAATTTAGATTATTTTAACTAAATCCACTGTACTTAAATTTCTATCAATATAATACAATTAAATTTAGATTGAATCTACTTTAACAATTAGATTAAATATAAAAGATCAATTTAATCGATTTTATTATAAGGTTTATCATATATGACTAAGTTTGATATGGTTCGACTTAGATCTCGTAACTCGGCTTAATTTGAGTTTTAATTGTCTTATCTAAACATTGGTCAGAGCTAACTTGAATCGTTCAAACTGACTTGACTCGATTTAGACCTATGTTGACTCAACTTCACTTGGGCTAACTCGTTTTAGTTTGGGCCTAAGTCAACTCGACTTGATTTGAGTCCAGGTCAACTCGACGTGACTTAATTTTAAGTCAGCTTGACTAGTTTGACCACAGGCTCGAAATAACTCAATTGGACCTTGAGATCATGGTAAATCGGCTTAGCCTTTCGACTTAGGATGACTCAGGTTGACAGTTCGAACTACCTTAACTCAACTTTTAGCACATGCTGACTCACTTTGAACTTCAGTCAGAGTTGACTTGTCTCAATCTTTGGTCAGATCGACTCAACTCAACCATTAGTTCGAGCTAACTCAAATTCATTCTTCATCTTGGATAAAGTCGTATCAATTCTTCGATCTGAATAGACTCTTATTCACCTTCATATTAGGCAAACTTGACTCAATTCTTTAGCCTAGGACAACTAGGCTCGACCTTTGACCTGGGTTGAGTTGACTTGATTCTTCGACCCATGCAAAATCGACTAAATTCTTTGGCCCGAGTTGACTAGTATTGATGGTTTAGCCTGGGCCGACTTGACTTGACTTTTAGCATAGGTTCACTCAGCTCAAATTTTCAACCTTGGCTACATTGGTTTAATTTGTTGGCTTGGGATAACTTGGCTTGACCTTTCGGTCTGACTAACTTATCTCAATCTTTAGTATGGGCCAAAACATTTCGACCTTCAACCCTAATCAACTCGACTCAATTCTTTAGTTTGGGCTAACTCATCTTGATTTTTCGGCCTAAGTTGACTCAATTCATTCTTCGACCATTCCAACTTGACTATGTCTTTTGGCTTGGGTCAATTTCTCATTCACCTTAAACCTAGGTCGACTTGTCTCAACCTTTAGCTTGGAAATTCGTGTCACGACCTTTTGTTCGGACATACTCGTCTTAATCTTCAACCTAGATTAACTCAATTGAACCCTTTAACTTGGATCAACTAGGTTCTACCTATGTTAATTTGGCTGGACTTTCATCTTGAGTCATCTCAACTCAACATTTGACCTGAATTGGCTATATGGACTACACCAACTTGAATAGACTAATCCTCAACCACCTTGACTCGACTTAGATGAACATTAATTTTAGATTTTCAAAATTCAAAAAATAATTCAATCCAATTAATTAAGTAATTGAACTTAAAATCCAAAAATATAGATTTAAATTAAGGATAAATCTATTTAAATGGTCTTAAAGTAATATTGATTTAGATTATTATAAATTAGATTTTAGAATTGGATTTTTTTTTTCTATTCTTAACAGGTGATTTAATAACATCCAATAACATTATTAGGATATAAATTTGGTATTATATTAAGAAGTACGTTAAAATTTCGTTTTTAAATTGAAAATTGTTGATCTTATCTTTAATAAACACAAGATCTCGAATAGTAAGTAAAGAAAAATAAGGTAGATTTGGATAGCACGTTATCATTGAAATATGCTTGTCTCACGTGTGTCTTAAATAATCTTTCCAAAATATAACGGACAAAACTGCATTGGCCTATAATGTATCAATATAAATATCAAATTTACATTGGACAGGAGCTATCCTTAATTATCAAATGTTATAAAATAATAAAGAATGTACGAACAAAGTGTGTTAACAATTTTTTTATGATTATGATCTTGAAAGAACTTTTATTATGATTCTAAACTGATGCAGTTAAAATACAAAGAAGTGACTGTTAGTAATAAATTCTCTTAACATTTTTAACGCAAAATTGTTTAAATTCAGAAAGCACCCGAGTCTATTCTTTCGTCAATAAACCTCATTCTTAATTTTGTACTTCATCCTTTTTAAATTGATTTATATTTATAATTATTTGACATTGATAGAGAAAAAAAATTTGAACATAATTGTTATTAGATGTCAATTATATTAAAATATATTTTTTATTTTCTATAAACATATGTCAGGAGAAAAAAATGTTTAACAGGAGTAAATTTGGAATATGTTATTGAAAATAATATATATATATATATATATATATATATATATATATATATATCAATCAGAATATATTTTTAAAGTCAACGACAATAAATTGAAATAGAAAGGTCTCTTTTAAATAACTGATCCATTTATCCTAGGAAAAAGAAAAGGAGAGAATGAAAAAAAATCCAAAGAAACTTGTGTGTTATTTATCTCACTGTAATTTGAGGAGAGAAATAAAAATAAGTTTAAAAAAATAAAAGTGAATGTTTAAATAAGTAAAACTAGGTGATAAAAGTTAAAAACGCAGTCAACATGTTACATTAAAATAAAATAAGAAAAGTAAATGTAATGTTATTTAAAAAATAAGTATTACATATTAAAATACAGTTGAGTGAATATTTATTTAAAGATAAAAAAATGATAATATTATTTTATTAGAGATTTAATGAGGTGGGAACGTTCAATTTTATCTGTTGTTTAATTTCTGTTGACATTGTTTTGTTAAAAAATTAAGTATGTTAAAGCATAAACTGAATACATTGGTATTAATATTAGTGGCATTATCCGAAGAGTTTTGACAGACTCACGGAGACATTGGTAAATCTTAAATGCTAGTTTTGAGAAAAGACAATATCAGTGCTGTAAATTAAATGCAAGCATGATCGGTTTGTTCAAAGTGTGTGTCAGATGAGACTAGATTGCAACATAACCGAACTGTCTCAACTGTCAAAAGCAGAGTAAAACCTCCTTTATACAGATTTTGGTGTTAGATCCAACAATTAGAGGCAACCACGTATGTTTCAAAGTCAACTAAGCAAAAAGGAAAAACATTGGTGTGATTTGTGACAGAACACCCTTTTTATATGTTAAAAAACAATCATGCTCCGCTGTCACTGGAACGTTGGTTTTGATTTGCAAATCACATGATACTCACTTGCCTCGTTCAAATGCAGAAATGAAGAGAAAAAGAGAGAGAAAAAAGCAATTCCCCTCAGAGAAGGATAGCACCAACAACCATTAAGAGAAATCCAGAACTTCCCTTTTCTCTCATGACACCCTTTATTTTCTTTTTTTCTCTTTTCATTTAATTTCCCATTCTTCACAAAAAGAGAAACCTCTTCTTTCTGCCCACACCCTTTTGAGTTTCCCACATGGATGTTTCACAGAGAAAGAGAACTTTGCTTAAGGTCATTGTTCTTGGTGATAGTGGGTATGTATGGTAACTCTTTTCTGCATTCCAAGTTTTCCTTTTTTGCTGTTATTACCTCATGTAAGCTTCTTTATTGATGATGTGAATGCTGCTGATTAATCCCTTTTTCTTGATCTTCTTTTCAGGGTGGGAAAGACTTCTTTGATGAATCAGTATCCATTTGGCACTTACATTTACAGTTTAAGAGCAAAAAGTAAATAAACAAGTGAAAGTTTGGTAGTTTTTCTGATGCCAATGATTCGCTGTACTTGCATTATTCATTCCAAAATCATGAATGCTTTTGAGCTTTTCACTGTTTTGAATTTGTTTTCTTTCGTTTTTCCAACGAGTCTCTATAAAGTGTACATGAGTTGGCACTAGCTTTTGTAAGTGCATATCCTGCTGGAAAAATATTATTGGCTGCATAACACCAGATTTAGTTAAAAACTGAATATGTTTTGCATATTCAAAATAGTTTTTCTTAGCAATTAGTATCTTGATCGGAACTGACTTAAAACAAAGGCTGAAATTGGGTTTTTGAGTTTTTTATTACTGAAATTGTGTTTGATTCAAAGAATGAAACCAGAAAGTAGTGTATATCATATCATTGTGGAACATTAACTTTGAATTCAGATACGTTTATAGAAAATTCAGCCTGCAGTATAAAGCCACAATTGGTGCTGATTTTGTCACAAAGGAGATACAAGTTGATGACAAACTGGTAACATTGCAGGTGAGCACTTTAAAATGTGATCAAAGTTTTACCTTTGTGTGAGTACACTACAAAGGTATCAATTTGAGTACCTTTTCAACTTTTGGTTGACACAATGAAAAATGAAACACTATTTTGGCAGATTTGGGATACGGCAGGGCAAGAAAGGTTCCATAGTCTTGGGGCTGCATTTTATAGAGGGGCAGATTGCTGTGTGCTGGTGTATGATGTAAATATACACAAGACATTTGATACACTAAACAATTGGCATGACGAGTTTCTTAAGCAGGTATGTTGTTACTTCTTCATACCATCTTTCAATTCTTCCTCTTTTTGTATTTCTTTATTGCTGATTTCTATCTTCTGTTTGAATCATTTTGTCCTTGAGTTGAATATATATATATATATGATCGGTTGAAGATGGTCTTTCACCATGTTTACCCGTCTGATCTGTTCTGCATATTGGTGTTTGATGTCAGGGTGATATGAATGATCCTGAAGCATTTCCCTTTGTAATACTTGGGAACAAGGTTGATGTAGACGGTGGAAACAGTAGAAGGGTATGGAATATATGAAATTTTGCAGCAATTATTTTTTCATACACTGTTATCATTGGCAGTGATTTTCAATATATTTGAATGTCTTGGTGTAAAGTGTCTGCCATTTGTTGCAGGTGACTGAAAAAAAAGCTAGAGACTGGTGTGCTTCCAGGGGAAACATACCATACTTTGAGACCTCTGCAAAAGAAGGCTACAATGTTGAGGAGGCTTTTTTATGCGTTGCCAAAATTGCACTAGAAAATGAACACGAACAAGACATGTGAGAATGAACAATTTTTACCTTGTATTTGGTTGTAGTGATTATTCTTAATCAAATGTTGTAATGTTGGTTGCAGCTATTTTCGAGGAATCTCTGATGCAGTGTCAGAAGCAGAACAACGAACTGGTTGTGCATGCTGAAGTCATGTATTTTACTCAACATATTTGGTTTCGCACTTTGGCACAATATCATTCAATTTATTAAGCTGTATTTATCTTTAAATTCCAAAATTAGCCTCTCAGTATGCGTGGAACCCCCTTTGGCGCAATATCATTCAAGTTTTAATTTTCACTATCCAGCCAAATCTAAGTTTTGTTATTTATTTAATTTATAACTAGGTATTTTTCAATGAATTTTTTGACAAATTTTAAACAAGAAAAGTATAAAAAAAATATAAATTGTTTGTTTTTTAAGTTTAGAAACTCTATGAGTTTAGATACTAAAATTGAAGTAAAATAACTAACCATAATATTAATATCTACATATAAACATATAAAATTAAAATTTTTATAAACAATATAATAATTGAAAAATTACTAAAAAAAACTCTAGTAAACTCGACCTGTCCTGCGTTTTATCTAATAGGCTAATAAGTTAATTCGTATGCGCCTCACATTGGTATTTTTACATGTACAAGTAAACAATATAATTGAACAAATTAAAAAAAAAAGTTAATGAGGAAATACTTAATTAAAAACTATAAAAATTTCAACACTTAATAAATAAAAAATTAACTAAAAATGCAAAAGACTTCAAGGCTAACTAAATATGAAATAAAGTAAAATTTCTGAACTTATTTTTATTTTTTTTTTGGAAATTTTTCCGGCTGACATTAGTCTATGAGCTGAACATATGAATTACGTAGAAATATCAAATTCGAAAATCCCAACCAAACACGTCACACACATACAAACACGATGGTTGAAGTTTGAGGCAAACAACACGTGTTGTGGGTGCAGTTCTCTCTCTCTTTCTAAACTCCAATGGCTTTCTCTGCAATCTCAGCTATGCACTCTCCTCAATTTGTTCGTCTTCCTATCTCCTCCCCGCAATATTCTTCACCCATAGTCAAATTTTCATCGCCAAATCTAAAACGCCGTAAACCACTCTCCATTCGATCAGTTTCAATCCCCGGTACGCCTTGCATCCTTATATTTCCTTGTTTGTTAATTTTCTCTTAATTAGCAACATCAATGACAAATATGATTATTAGATTATAATTTTGTGGTTTGGAAAAAAATTATACATCTTTCTAGTTTATAGGAATTGGGACGCACTTTCTTCAATTTGAAGATTTTGTTCTCAGACTTTTGCGAATGATTTCGTCTCCATTTAATAAGAGGTTCGATTGTTTGCCAGAGTTTATTGGCTTTGAATTCATGGTTGGTATTGGTGTGCATGATTTGGGTCTGCCTACCCAAATTTCGAGGAAGGTGTATTGGCCAGGGTAAAGGATGAATGTTAACCAGTGGATGTATGCATGCCGGAACTCTTCTGTTATAATTTTTGCTTCTTTATCATGGGATTTCAACATAGTAGTCAACTTTCTTACCCTTTCATTTAGGGTTTGTCTGGGTAAAAAACTTGGGGCTTATTAGAAAAACTTCTTAATAAACACATTTAGGAAAGGAAAATAAGAAGGAAATTTGAAGTTAGTTTCTCCAAAAATCTTAAGCTTATGTTGACTGCTTTATGGACAACTTATAAGTTGTTTTTTTAGAATCTCATAAATATTTACAAAAGTGTTTGTCATAAGATAAATTTTATAAAACTCTTACAAATGTGCCCTTAATACCTTTTCCTTCTCTATCTGTTTGCTTTATACTGCAATGAAAGGGATATCAGTAAATAGTCAAAAAGGCTTGTGGACGATATGATATCAGTCATGTTTGCCTCTGTATAATCAATTATACTTTCATGTGATGAATTGGCACATCATTAGAAGAACTTGACTTCTTAGATGGCTGAGGGGATGATAAAATTTCTGAATCTTTTAATGATTTGGCATTACATAATCTATAATGATGTATTTCACTGATGCTTAGTTGATCTCAATTAGGCATTATATTAATATATGAAAATTTAAATGACGCGTTCCATGCCATCAATCACAATGTTGGTAATTGCATTGTCATCAGAGATTTCACGCATTGCCACATGCCTCCACCAGTATCTGTGTGTGTAGCACACACACCTGGCTCTAGCAAAGCCCACTCATCTTGCGAACACTAACAATGTCGTTGGGACCTCTTGATGAAACTAACTTTGATACTAGTTTTCTTGTATGATTGGCTCATGACCTAGTTCTTGAATATGCCTCCATTTGTGGTTCTTCTTTGTGCACAACAAACAACTAACTACCGAAGCTAGTAGTTCAGTTAAATATAGTGAAAACTATATATAAGATTAATCTCCCTTGTGTTGAATATACACATAAGGTCCTTTATTTATAATAGAAGAAATATAGACTAAGCCCAAAATACAAATAAGAAATAATAACAAACTAACTAGAAGATAAAAGATAAATATAAAATAAAGATAATATATCTAACAATGTCCGACTCAGACGTACAATATGGAGTGGTTGATGGATCCCGAGTTTGTGCATCCACTCACCGCTAAGGTAGTTGTGTGCTTTCGATGGAGGGTAAACATATACCAATGTAGAAGAAACACACTTAGGAAGAGATTGTTGGAGTCAAGTGAGAGTTGGAGTCACACATTGGATAAAATTGGACAAGATGAGCAATTTATAAGAGAGACTCGCAAACCTTTTGCCGTCAGATTTTGGGTTAAGAGTAATGTCAAATTTCTCTTTTATGATTAACTCATGACATGACCCATTTGCGAAATATCTCCCTGTTTGTGGTTCCTCCTCGTGCACAACAAAATGTTGAATATCATATTTCTCAATCTGAGACGAAAGGGTTGTAGGGTGCAAAAAAATATTTACAGTAAAATACAAGACAAATAGGACAATAGGAAAGTATAAAGGCTGATTGGTTGCAAAGGGATACACTCAAACTTGTAGAATTGATTATGAAGAGACATTTGCTTCAATAGCAAAGATAAAGACAGTTTGATTAGTTCTTGCTCTAACATTTTGTTAGGGACTTGCACCAATTAGATGTGAAGAATGTCTTTCTTCATGGAGATTTAGAAGAAGTGTACGTGTAGATTCCTTAAGGATTTGAAACTCATTGTGGAAGGAATAAAACGTGTCTCCTAATGAAGGGCTTATATGATCTTAAGCAATCTCCAAGAACATTGATTGGGAGATTTATGAAAACAATGTTTTCTTTCAGATACAAGTAAAGTCAGGGAGATTATACTTTATTCATAAAGCACTCAACTACAAGTAAATTCACTATATCATTGGTTTATGTGGATGATTTGATTATTGCATAAGATGATGAAACAAAGAAATTAACTTAAAAGAAAAATCTGGCTGTCAATATGAGTGACAGGTTTGGAAAATCTCAAGTAGTTTTTTTTGGAATAGAGGTTGCTTATTCCAAACAGGGGATTATCATCTCCCAAATAAAATATGTATTTGATCTTCTCAAATAAGCATTTAAGCTGGGTTTGGAACCCCCCGATAATTTCTATTGAACAAAATTATAAAATTGGAAGTGAATAGAGTTCTCTTATAGAAAAAAAATCCAATATTAGAGATTGGTAGGAAAACTTAAACATCTATCATATGTATGCCAAATATTGTTTATGCAATTAGTGCGGTAAACTGGTTTATGCATGGTCAAAGAGGAACACGCATGCAAGTAGTTGACAAAAAAATTTCAGTTCTTGAAGTCACACTCAAAAGGAGCTACGGTTTAGGAAAGAGACTTTAACCCTAAAGATATATACTGATGCAAACTATGTATGTTTTGTTACTGATAAAAAATCTACTTTTGGATATTGTATATTTTTTAAAAAAGTACGGTACCAAAGAGAAACAAAAAAAGCAAGGTGTGTGTGATGAACTTTGGATGAAAATCATAGTAGAAGACCTTAAAGCGAAGTTTGACATTCCTACATAATTATACCATGATAACAAGTTAGCCATGAGCATTGCCAATAGTCTAGGAAACCATGTCAAAACCAAATATATCAAAATTAACTGCCACTTCATCAAAGATAACTTTAAGAGAGGTGTTGTGATTGTAACCCATGTCCTTGCAGGACTTCAAATAGCATAAGATTTTTGTAGGCAAGTTTGGTATTTATTTATCAACTTGAGGAGGAGTGTTGTAAATGATGGATTATTAGGAATAAGATATCTTCAGTATCATAGTAGTTATGAGAGGATATCTTTAGAATCTTTTCATTTATTTCAGCATATTTTTATTCTCTTATTTTGAAGACTTTGATTGTTACAACGTGTAAAGGTAATGAGAATAATTGGTGTAGTTGTTATCAATACTGTAATTATTTGGAGAACTATCTTATAAATTAATTTAGATTAGTACTCTAAGTAAAAAAAATAAAAATTAGAGTAGTCTCTTATCAACATTCGCTCCAGTTTTAATATCATAATATTATTAACTATATTGCAACCGTGTACTTTGAATTTTCTTATATACCAGTGTGTGCTTTGCGAAATGCTTTTTCCACCTTATTCAGCACTTATTTAATCTTTTTTCACTCTTTCCACGTACCTTTCAGCTGCACCAGCTTCTGGGTCTGTGGCCCCTGCAATTTCTCTTACGGATAACGCACTGAAGCACTTGAGTAAGATGAGGTCTGAACGAAATGAAAATTTATGTTTAAGAATAGGTGTCAGGCAAGGTGGGTGCTCTGGTATGTCATACACAATGGATTTTGAGGACAGGGCTAATAAAAGGCCAGATGACTCCATCATCGAGTATGAAGGCTTTGAAATTGGTATGATTCATATCTTGTTTCTTATAATTGACATTTATAATTCACAAGGAAGGATTAATCTCGTGGTTTACTCGGGGAAGGGTTAACTATTTGACGTGCTTTAGCCACATTCCCTACAGGTTTATTTGTCAACGTGCCAATGCACTTATCTTTACAAACTGTAACACCGCAACTTCTGTTTAAGATTATTCTCCTAATTAAGCTATATGACCCAGACAAAGTGCGTACTGGTTGGCACTTTGCAAATATGTGGAGGATACTAAGTGCGTTGCAGTACTGATGTTAATCTTAGTTATATTTTTGTGTGGTAGGAGGTTTTGTTTCTATGTTTATATATCTGACTAATTTTAGCCTTCTATCATGTAAAATATCTTGGCACAGCAAAAACATTATTATTGGATGGATTCTCCG